ACCAGAATGACGGTGCCTCCAGAATGATGGCTCGAGTCAGAATGATTGTTCTGGTTGCGCACTTGAAGTAGGCGACCCCTCGCAGCTGATTGGTCCATTTCCATCCGTCTCACATTCTCCAAATTTCTCAAGCGCTTCACCACAGAAATGTGTTGTTGGCTTCTGTTTCAAAGTGCTCTTCCCGGACAGTCAATTAGCAGAACCGAGCACTATAATTAGCTATTACCGTATGGTTGAAATATCACGCCCCTATTGGCCAATTATCACCGTCACCTTTGAGTAAACGTCGCCTATGACTACGATAAGACGGTACATGGTTCGATACATGGATCGCTACATGGATTAGTCCACCAGGGAATCAGACAATCGCTTCAGGAACGATCCAAATTACCTCACTTCACAATGGTTTTTAAATTACGTAGTAAGTAATTTATTTCGATACATGGACAATACCTGGATCGATATTTCTATACCTGATGTAGCATCGTCCTATAATATTGTACCAGTTTTGACAGAGCAGCCACACCAAATATGCTATACAGAAGGCCCGATATGCCATTACAGAGGAAATGCGTCTAACCCATTCGCTTCTGAGCATCATCAGTTTTCCGCAGCCGGTGTATCATTTCTCAGCGCCGCCTCCAAGCAGATACCACGAGCATTGCAGCTTTCGCCTTAGATCCGCCATCCAAAACCTGCACCGAAGATCGCTACATGTTGTCTACACTACTGTGGTTTGCGTTGGCTTTTGCAGTCCTCGTGACGCAGGGCTACAAGATCGTGGCGCGCTTCCTGCGGTTGCTGCTACACACGTACTTCCGCAAAATCGTAGTCTATGGACTCAACAACTTCCCGCGCGAGGGGCCTGTGATCCTGTGCCCGAACCACCCCAATATGCTTGTGGACGCCATCCTCGTTATGACTGAAGCCGCTAGCCACGGCCGAAACCCGTACGTCTGGGCAAAGGGCTCGCTCTTCAGCAACCCTGTCGCTGCCTTCTTCCTCAAAAAGTTCGGCGCCGTGCCGGTCTATCGCCCGCGACGCAAAGAGGCAAGTCTTGCCGATGTGGACTCAGATAAGACCCCAGAGGAGCTGGAGGCGGCCAACCGCAAGATGTTTGAACATACGTGGCGTGTACTTGCTGGGGGTAACGTCATGGTGCTGTTCCCTGAAGGAACGTCGTACACGGCGCCAAAGATGCTGTCACTGCGCACGGGTGTTGTGCGTGTCGCGACAGGTTTCGCTAAGCACTATGATCAACCCATCCCGATCATCCCTCTGGGTCTCAACTATTTCAATAAGGATCACTTCAGAAGCCAGATGACGCTGGAATTCGGCTCGCCCATGGTCATCACACCCGAAATGGTGCAAACCGAAGCTTTTCAGCAGGACGAACACGGTGAGGTGAAGCGGTTGACCCTTCAGCTAGAGGAACGCATGCACGATGTGACCTTGAACGCGTCTGATTTCAGCACAATCCACGTGGCGCGAATGATGCGACGCCTCTATCTCAACACCCCTGGATCCATTGACACCAACAAAGAAGTTCGCTTGACACAATACATCATCAATATGCTGGAAAAGGAACCCCAAGATGATGAGCAAAAGGAGCGAATTGCAACGATCCGTGAAAAAGTTTTGCGATACAAAGAGCAACTGGAAAAGCTGCGGCTGAAAGACCGAGAGGTGAATTTGCCAATGCCGAAGGAGCAGTCACTTTTGCAATTATTCTTGGAGCGAATTCTGTACCTACTTGTGCTGCTACCACTGGCAACACCCGGGCTTTTGCTGAATCTTCCGTACTATTTTATTGGTAAGTCGAGGACTCTAAGCTGTGCAGCTTGTTTTTAAGAAAAAAATTAACCGATATCTCTCTTCTGCTGCACAGGAACGAAGATGAACAGCCTCGCAGGATTCGTGGAATCAAAGTCTATGTTTAAGATTTTCGCTGCTGCGTAAGTCAATTGAGCTCTTCTTCAGTGTGAATATGCTACTAATTCCGCTAACTTGTTGATTTGCGTGTAGTGTTTTGGTCCCCGTGCACTGGCTCGTGCTGATCCTCGCAACCTGGTACTTCCTTGGATCCTCGTACGCGTATGTACTGGCTGTTGGATTACCACTGCTGCTCTACTCGCACATCCGCGTCCTGGAAGAAAGTCGCTCCATTGTCGAAAACGTTTATTTCCTCTTCAACATCACAGCCCACGCCGATAAAGTTGCGGTACTTCGAAAGGAACGGGAGCTGCTAGCGCAAGAAGTCCACGAGCTCGTGACCACGTACGTAGATGCCAAGTTCCTCTCGGCCGTGCACAAGTCTTTAGCGAGCTCGCCGGTGAACAGACGATTGCGCCACCGCGCCTCCTCCACCAGCGACACCCTACTTACGAGGTGATATCACCTAGCGGTAATGCCTCGCGTGCGCTTTTGTTGAGCAAGTAGACTAGAAACGTTTAAACAAATGCACGAGCTTGCTGCGTGATCGTCACGACACCATCGACGAACATTGTGATTCCCCACTTCGGAGATAGTGCACTACTACATGTAGTAGTAGTATTTGTTGATGTTATGATTGAGACCAGTGTCCTTTCAAGTGATTGCTTTTCAGCATGTAAATTTGTACGTCGTTGGAGTAGCACTAGAGGCACATTGGACATCCTCGAAGCTATTGAGCTACTGCGAGGAATTACGGAGCTTGAGCCCGACATCGTGTCGCTTCTTCTCTTTCCCCTTCAGCTCGCCTGGGGTATCACGAATACCGTGAGTACCTGCGCTGTGAACAACTCCGACCAACAACAGCTTACTCTTCTTGTTCTTGACGATGACATTGCGTTTTTCAAGAAAGAACACGTTAGCCTTCTTAGTGTATGTGGTCTGTCGTCCAAGCATCACCACGATTTATAGATAAAAGTACGTATGAGAACATATTAAAGCTATAAGCAAAATAAATGCCAGCGCACCTTCTTCGGCTTCACTGTGTCCAGCTCGCTCAGCGCGACCTTGAGCTGCTGAATCTACAGGAAAGCATCAGTACAGTGTCCAAGTGATATCGATTATAAATACCGCGCAGCCTACGTCTCCATCGAGCTTTCGAGCGAGGCGCTGCGCCTTCCAGCGCTCGATGCCGCTGAGCTCTGCAATCTCTTCAATTTTGGCCATCTGCTGGTTTGCCTTGTTCCATTTAGCGTGGTCTAAAATCAAAATTTCAGGCAGAGGTTAATAGTTTCTGAAAAAAGGTGGTAGTAATAGTACTTGTAATACTGGCTCAATCTTTTTATTACCAGTAATACTAATATCAGTACTCAATCACAACACGGTAGTAGTATTAGTACTATTATTACTAATACTCAAAGTACTACTCTGCATCTTTTGGAGCGTCACGCGCCTTGCACGCGTCTTGCTTCATTTTCACAATTTTGCTTCTGTTGTGTCTCAGTAAAAGCTGCTTCTCCGCCCGTCTGCTACCTGTTCTTGTACGAAGTTGACCCATGATAATCCCTCCCGTGGAGAACACTCGCTCTTGGAACGCAGAAGACGAGATTTTTCCTAGGTGAATGCACGCTAGCAGGGCCATTAAGGGGAATTGGTTCTCGCCGTCGTCGCGGAACCACTGTAGAACATCTATGTGTTTGTACAACCACAGCAACGACCAGTGCATACCTTTCTGAGTGTCCCTAGTCATTTCCGAAGACAGATCCTCCTTCTTAATGTCTGGATTTTGGCGCTGAGCTATCTCGAG